TACTCAGCAATAGCAGAAACCTCGTTGCCAGTCGCGATCGCCTACTAATACGTTAAGCGCTAGGGGAAATTTTGCTTTGCTTTGTCGGTGGATATGTCAGAGTCCACCTCGTTCAGTAGCATTATGGAGAATTCCTTAGTTTTCCTTTCTATTTATACAACCTAATACACTAATTATGTTTGCGTTGTTGAGAAAGCTTAATATTTTGAATTTCGAAAACGTTCCAAGTGGTATAGCTGTGTGGCCAATTAGGCATTCAACGACGTGTTGAAACATTTTAGAGCCTGCAAAGGACACTTATCGGGTTCGCTCGGGTCCAGAAATGCACAGGTTCACTGACAGAGTACCTACCAAGATAAGTTATAGAAACGCACTTTCTTCCTAACTGTTGGTTTTCTGCAAGGCGTGGGATTGCGTAACGGTGGCCGTACAAATTTTTTGCTAAACTCATAAAGCATTATGTTTCACCTTTTTTTTCCATTTTCAACTTATTTGCACCTATTAACGACCCGAAAAGCAACGATTTAGTATTTAAGTTATTTTACAGTTTTTAAGTCATCTACGGTTTACAATGTTGGGCCTAAATTTTAGTGGATCGTGACGGAAGAGGAAGACGAAGAGGAAGCAGAATTACCGGCATTCTCCCCGCGGAAACGAAGCGCAACACCAACTGCCATCCACCAATGCCAACATTCATATACGGGCGAGGATGCGAAAAAATCGATCAGGCTAAGGTTGACAAGTGCAGCCACATTCAAATTGCTGATCGGTAGTGACAGTATACGCTTTGATACAGCAGAGCGGGGTCAGCTCTTTGAAACGTCCGTGTAAACAAACAAATGTTCCGATGAGTATTATCATATTCTCGCAAAACAATTTTCGTTATAACTCAGAGGCAATATGTCCTTGAATTATCACTGCATACTTCAAGAATAATTTTGGAGGATGTGTGAGAATTTATAATTCAAAGACTAAACTGAGAGGTGGATTTTATATTAAGGGTTTATTCCTACTTGTGTTTTTTAAAGTAAAAATGCTAAAAACGCACAAAACCAATATAGGAAACTTCGATTTCCAAACATGCTCTAGATGCAACTGTAGAGCACCGAACAGCAGTTATAAATCCTCGAGTAAGCAAGCTGGAGGAAAGTCAAAAAAATCTCAGAGTTTAGTTGGAAATGACATCCAAAGATAACGCACACTCCCCCACATTACTTGTAGGTATGGCTGTTAGTGAACAGCCCAAAGTATGAATATGTATTCTTACACGGTTTCGCGAGAATTCATAGTTGTTTTTTCCTTTTATAAATTGCTTGAGTTACGCTGGACTAAGACAGCCAGATTGTTCCTCGATTACGCCTATTGGGAGGTCACATGAATGAAGTATTTCGTAAGCTCAAGTGCGGATAGGTCGGTCAGTGACGCAAAAAATTAAATTGAATTGTCAGCTGCAATCGTAAAAGTCTCATCTTGTGTACACTACGAGAAACTACTTTCCGTCGAATTTCTTTACAATTTTTTCCTGAGTTCGATTAGGACTAGGTTCAGATTGTTTTTTAAATGGTGATTAACACTGTGCGATTCTCACTGGCTTCAGCCAATTGGCCATAAATAAGGATTCTATTCCAGGTGCTTACCAAAACCTTTTAAAATAAGATATGTAATAAAAGCATTTACCTAAGTGAGAGTTTTTGGGCATTCATTATGAGGCACCTGCCTGTTTGGGTCATGGTTTTAGAATCATCCAAACATATCTACTCATTACCGAGAAAAATGAACGCCCGCGAAAAAAGTCAGATATTAATATGCCTTAAATCAATTAAAAAGCTTTCTATAAAAACTGATTGCTTGAATAAGTCCTTTGTTCAGATATTTTGACGTCAAACGTCTGCGTACTTTAACTTTTTGAAGCTTTAGTCAAGATAAATATCGCAAAATGTGACCGGTTTTTGACTTCCTAAAAATTAGGGATACATCTTCTGCTTAAAGTGAAATAGCTTAACTTTGTGTGTATACTGAAGCAGGTATTATTATACATCTTCAATTTAAGGCTCCATCCTGAGATTACAAAAGCACGTACGAGTAGCAGAATAGATACCACGATTTTGCGAAAACTGAAAATCTTCAACCGTTTCGTTTCAAGTTTTCTTATTTGTTCATACTGAACTATAGACTAAAAGTGCTTGGACATCTATTGCCTACGGCGTGTCTCAAGTACTCAAATGCCTGTTTACCGTCCTTATTTTCGGGTTGGTAAAACAAATTACAGTATTATTTTATTACTGAATTTTATGGCACAAAAGGTGTTCATACTGATAACCCTCCTATCTTTAAATACATTGGAATCCTGTGAAGTTTGAAGGTTCATAAAGTATCCTTTCGTAGCTACTCCAAGATCCACTATGAATGTAATTCTCCTAATTTCAACAGGTGCGCCGCATTTAAAGACTTAATTCCAGGTTTGCGTTGATTTATAAAATTCCTGCAAATTTTCAGACATTGTTGACCACTCAGCCAAACAGACCCGTAAAGGGATCAGAGAACTTAATTACCTCCTTTCATCAGAGTACAGGGTACACCCTCTTGTGTGAAACTGAGCACGGTCAACATCATGAAATTATCCATCGGGTAGAAATATTGCCTTCTTATTCACGTAGTTTGTCTATAAAACCGACATGAACGTTAAAAACACAAGCTTATCTTTTATCTGCGAATGTGAGTCCGCAATAAACAAAATGAAATTATCGATTTGGTAGAAATATTGTAGATTTATTTAAATATTTATTTGCAGAAAACCGACATAAGCGTTAAAAATCTTAGCTCATGCTGTATTGGGGCATGTGATCGCGCAATATGTTCACATAATGTCTCCTCATTTATTATCGATTCGGTAGATTTTAGCAGTTAACGGTAACTAACTAATATTGACCGCCCCTTAACCAAATGGTCGATTACAGCGATATGCGGATAATGACGTCAACATATGACTGCCTTACAGACGTCAATAAAAGCAGTGATTATAACACTACCTAATATTAGGATGTCTGGACAAAGCTCACATCCAAAATTATCGGAAATTTTTCTGCTTGTAGTTGAACCAGGGTGGGACTCCAAACAAATTAGAAGTTCGAAAAGCGCAGAAGTTGTCTACGCATGTCTGTTACTTTAAATGATTGAACTTTGCGCGTCGCAGAAAAGGCAAGTAAAGAATGCCAAATGCCGAAAGAGGAAATTAAAACCTTCAGTAATAGATTGGAACTTCAGCTGGTTTCTGTTTAACAGAAATATGCCGTTTGCGTCTTGTATCGTCAAAGGACATACGATAGTAAATTTTGCTCAATTAGGGGGTTAAGCCATGCTCAGAAAATACACGGCAAATGACAGCGTTTGGTCTATTAAACCCTTCCATAAAATATTAATGTTTAAGGTGAAAATGATTAAATGATTCCTTAAGACGACCTGTGCGACGCTTAAGATACGGCGTAAAGGGCAGTTAACGCCATAAGCTCTCTAACAATGCACCAACTTGATCCAGGACCTCAGTCGACCTCTTCGAAGCGCTTTTGAGTAGGTATATTGGCAACGGTTCCTGCGGATTCAATAAAATATTCGCGTATTTCTTCGGTATGCTTTCCGTATGACGCTGGCATTTAGAGTGACCTTGAGTCTGACACATTTCTGGATGACTAACTATTAGTTGCCGTGTGATCCAATCAATTACG